TATGACGTGAGGCCACTAGTTGCAAATGTACTATGGTAAGAATAAAACCAAATGAAAAACAGCTAAGATGAAGCTGTAAACTACATGTTAAGGGGTCACAGTTAGCACAATGGGTTAAACTGCCAGCTACAGAAAATCTTGCCGACTGGAAAATTAGCCGTTCAAACTGTGGGTTGGGGTAAGCTCCCACCATCAGCCCTAGCAGTTGCTTACCTAGCAGTTCAGAAACAGCAATGTGAGTAGATAAATAGGTACCACTAGGTAAAAGCCATCCCTGAAGACATGCTGGCAATTCGATCAGGAAGGTGTCTATGGACAACAGGTTCCTTGGCATTAAAAAAAATGGAGCAACAGCACCTCCTCGTGGCTGAGTCAAGCACAGCTTCCAGATGCTGGACATGAAAAAGAGGGAAGCCTTGCCTCTGTCTATGTACTGTCTGTCTTTGTTAATTGTATAACAGCATTGAATGTTTTCCATATATGTATTCTGTAATCCGCTCTGAGTCCCCTCGGGGAGATAGAGCGGAATATAAATAAAGTATATTATTATTATTATTATTATTATTATTTTACTGACACAAAAACACAGTATGATACAGCAAATGAGATATATATGCTGGATTTTGTATCACAAAATCACAAGTTGAACACTTCCCAAGTGTTTAGGACTGTGTGATGTATTTTCGAATGATGCACGCACATCCAAATAAGGTGGCCTTTTGCAGTTGACAGATCATGATTTTGTCAATGTTTATTATTATTATTATTAATGCAATTATTATCATTCATCCAGATAAATCTGGAGGAGAAGTGATAAAGTGCCTAATAAAGTGGTCAAGAGTTATTGATAACCAGTTTTACATATTGTTGCCTGAGGACAGTTCCCTTTAGCCCAGCCTTCCCATTCTCCTCCCAGTTACGAACTGGGAAGAGCCATCTCTATCTCCGGGAGTGTTATGCACATGACAGCCTAATAAGGATCCACCCACATGGCAATGCCACATGCAGGGAAAAAACTGTCTAATTATAAACGTGAAATATGATTGTAGCACATGATTGTAAACAAGCATAGTGGCTATTTAAAACACTTTTTAAAAGCCTCGGTCTGTTATTAACTTCACAGCAGGAGCATTGCTATGCAAAATGCTTAACAACTGCTCTCTCTTTCCTCACAACAATGCTGTTACTTATGCATTATCACTTTCTTTTTATGCGTGGGAGGCTGAGGCAACATTTGCACATGGCTGTTTGGTAAACTACCAGACACTCCAATGGGTGCCTTACACCAAAGAGCAAAACAAACCTCACTGGATTCAGTGGGATTTACTCCAAGGTGAACATATATATTAGAAGTGGATAACCATGGATGGGTCTGGTTGCCAACATACTGGGCTCAGAACCATCCAGGGGACTGCACAGACTGCCAAAAAGGCAAAAGCAAAATCCCAGAAGTCTCTGAGAGCAGTACTTTTTTAAAAAAGGTAGTACACAGGGTTTCTGCCACCTATATAAAAGGTGACTCACTGCTCTTAGGAGGTCGGCAAGAGGAGCAATTAATCTTTTTTGTTGTTGGGACTGAAGAAAATGAGTGGTCTGGGGGATTCAGAGCAATGGAGAGGCACAAAAGCAGCTGTCGGGGGAGACATACGCAGCCCCATGGTGGCCCATCACCCATGGCTAATGTACAGGATTGCAACCTCCATCATGCATCCACCCAGTGCTTTGAACTAGAAGATTATATGGCAGTATAGACTCATATAATCCAGTTCAAAGAAGATAATCTGGATTTATCTTTGAGACTTTGATAATCTGTATTATATGTCAGTGTAGATCCAGCCTACGACCGGGGTTCAAGTCCCCATTCAGCCATGATATGGCAAGTCACATTCTCTCAACTTTGGGGCAAGACAAAGGGCAAGCCCCTTGTGAATAACATTTGCCAAAAAACCCCTGTGACAAAACTGCCTTAGGGCCACCATAAATTGGAAACAACTTGAAAGCACTGGGTTGCTGTGAGTTTTCTGGGCTGTATGGCCATGTTCCAGCAGCATTCTCTCCTGACATTTTGCCTGAATCTATGACAGAGGTTGTGAGGTCTGCTGGAAACTAGGCAAGTGAGGTTTATATATCTGTGGAATGTCCAGGGAGGGAGAAAGAACTCTTTGTTTGTTGGAGGCAGTAGTGAATGTTGCAATTGGCCATCTTGATTAGCATTGAATAGCCTGGCAGTTTCAAAGCCTGGCTGCTTCCTGCCTGGGAGGATCCTCTGTTGGAAGGTGTTAATCGGTCCTGATAGTTTTCTGTCTGGAATTCCTGTTTTCAGATTGTTGCTCTTTATTTACTGTCCTGATTTTGGATTTTTTAAAAAAAATACTAGTAGCCTGATTTTGGTCATTTTCATAGTTCCCTCCTTTCTGTTGAAATTGTCCATTTGCTTGTGGCTTTCAATGTCTTCTCTGTGTAGATGTGGATGAAACGTCAGGAGAGAATGCTTCTGGAACATAGCCATATGGCCCAGAAAACGCACAGCAACCCAGTGATTCCGACCATAAAAGCCTTTGACAACACAACTTGAAAGCACACAATAGAGGAGCAAACTGACTCATGCATAGCTGGCATCCACCAATTGCACCACTCATGAGTATTGATGCTCAGGTATCAGCCCTATGTTACAACATGTGAATGTACCATCTCATGCGCATGAGTCATGCCTTTGGTCTCAGGGCATACAGTGGACACATATCATTGGGTGCCTTCAACTCGTGTGTTGCAAAGGGTGAGGAATGAGAAGATGATGGCCAATGTGCTATTTACATGTCACACCAGTCCCTGTAACAAGTCTGAAGAGGGAGCTGAGATATCAGCGTTTGCATGCCTGTTTGCAATGGCAGCCACAGAGGGCTGGGTTAATATGAAACCAACTAAGTGGGACAAGGGTGATGCAGGAAACTTTTTCTTAGGAACCTTTGCTTCCATGATAAGCTTGAGTGAACCTCAAAGGCTGTGATGCTGCTCATTGATGCCTTGAGGAGGGTGTGGGTAGCAGCGCAGGCTCCCATGCCCAACACACCCTCAGCACCAAGACTGGAAATTCAGACTGGCCAGAAACAAAGTCCCTCGGCGATGCTTTCCTGCCTTCTTCTGCCTTCAGCTTGGAAGTGTGCCACTGCCTTCGCCTGGCACCGGGGAGGCATTTGGGAGCCCCTCTGCCCTGCCTTAGTCACTTCCCGGCTGAGTCGCAAGCCCTGCCTGCTTTGTTTGATCCCCAGCCTTTTGGGAAGGGGGACAATGCCCTGCTTCCCTCTTCTTGGCTGTTCTCAGGGGCACCACGGTTACTCTGCTTTGCTGACTGAGTCGCACACTCCTTCTTGTTCGGAGTGCCAGAAGTGTTCTCTCCTGCAAAGCAACATGTGCAAAAACCAGCCTGCTTCTCCTTCCTGCCTCCCCTCTTCTTTTGTGTCTGTCTTTCTTTTTGTTACATGGAACAAGTGGGTTGGGGGCGGATCTTCAAGAGATCAAAAGGGAGATCATACAGAAGACAAAAGAGAATCAGGCAAAGCGAGATGTCTGTGATGCCCATTGGGGTGCTACAGTGGCATCCCTGTGCGTGCCTGCGTGCGTGCATGGTTTTAACAGGATTCTATCTTGTATCCTAAAAGCACCAGATCTTGCCTAATCTTAGTAAAGGTAAAGGTTTCCCTGTGACATTAAGTCTAGTCGTGTCTGGCTCTGGGGGGTTGTGCTCATCTTCATTTACACATTTTTTAAAAAAATCTGCAATAATGATGCCATTACTGATTCCTGTTGTACCAACCACTCACTTTATGATTGGTTTGTCTGTTTTTTAAATGTAGATGTAAAAGTGTTACAACAGCAAAATGGTATGATAAGGGATGTGTTATAATAGGATGATCAAAGGTAAAGATTTCACTTGACATGAAGTCTAGTTGCGTCCGACTCTGGGGGGTGCTGCTCATCTCCATTTCTAAGCTGAACAGCCGGCTTTGTCTGTAGACACCTCAAAGGTCATGTGGCCAGCATGACTAGTACCTATTGATCTAATCACATTTCTGCAACTGCTAAACAGACTGTGCTCTGGCACCATGAGATGCAGAGCCGACCTTAAGAAGTGGAGTCCACGACATGTGAGTGTGGAGAAGAGCAGACCACAGACCACCTATTGCAATGCAGCCTGAGCCCTGCCACTTGCACAATGGAGGACCTCCTTACAGCCACACCAGAAGCACTCCAAGTGGCCAGCTACTGATGGAAGGGCATTTAATACAGTGCCAAGTTTTCAAACTTTGTGGGGGTTTTTTTGTTGTTGATTATTTTTTAAATACTTTATAACTGTACCCCTGGTTCGCTCCTGATACAATAAATAAATAACTGCTAGGTTGGCAGAAGCTGGAGCTAACAGCAGGAGCTCACCCATTCCATGGATTCGAACCAGCCACCTTTTGGTCAGCAAATTCAACAACTCAACTGTTTAACCTGCTGGGCTAACATGGGCTCCTACCTAATCCTAGAAGAGACCCCAAGGGCCATCTCGTCCAGTCAATCAAGCTAGTTAGTCATTAGATAGGAAACAGCCAACACATGCCAGGTGTTGTATATTTCAGAGAAAAGAGTTGGCCAAGGAATACCAAGTGCTGCAGGCTATAGTAAAGGAAAAGGTTTCCGCCTGGCATTAAGTCTAGTCTTGTCGGACTCTGGGGAGGTGCGGGTCATCTCCATTTCTAAGCCGAAGAGCAGGCGTTGTCCGGAGACACCCCCCAGGCCATGTGGCCGGCATGACTGCCCGGAGCGCCGTCCAGAGGAAAGAACTGTCCCAACCCTCTCTGAGTATTCCTCGACTAAGGGAACCCTATGAAATGCCCAAGGAGCTCCGAAGGAGTCCCAAGGAGAAGGCTCACCTTCTGGTTGAGGGTGAGAATTGGGGCGGCGCCCCCTCCCCTGGCCCTCCCGCTCCCGCTCCCGCCAAGCCCCGCGAGGCTCACCTGGGGCTGGTGGGCGACTCCGCGCCGTAGTAGTGCCCATAGAAGAGGAGCGAGAAGGCCAAGCCCAGCAGGAGCAGAAGGCAGAGCCTCTTCCACCGAGGAGACCCCATCCGGGAAAGTTTGACGAGGAGACAGAGGAGAAAGAAGGAGGACAGGAGAGCGGGCTTCCTCGCTGGACTCCGCCAGGCGCTGCTGCTGCTGCTGCCAAGGAGGTGGAGAAGAGAGAGGCAGAGCGAGCCCGGGGCAAAGAGAGCGAGAGAGAGCGAGAGAGAGCGGGTCTCCGTGCTCTTTCGTGCGCCTTTGCAAAGTTCCTGCGCGCGTCTGAGCGCGGCTGGGAAGCGCTCCCTCGGGGCTGGGTTCCAACCAAAGCCCTCCTCCTTCGCTCCTCCTCCTCCTCCGCTTCGCTTCCATTTGTTGATAGCGGCCAAGGCGTCTCCGAGTTGCGGGAGGGAAGGCTTCCCCAGCTGCCTTCCGAGCGTGGCGAGGTCCAGGTCGGGAAAGGGACGGGTCTCGCCTCCTCCTTCGAGCCTCGTGGGCTTCTTTCCAAAGGCGCCCGGAGCAAGAGGCAGAGGCACCAAAGCGCAGGCAATTCCCTCCTGATCGGGTCTCGGAGCAGAAAAGGAGGCAGGAAGGAGGGTCACGCCTGGTTTGTGGCGCGGGGGAGTCGGAGTGACCCGCTCTGGTTCAAGGATGACACCGGAATTGGGGGAGACAAGCAAGGCACCCGTCAATTCCCTCCCCGGGTCTAACTTGTCGCTGGAAGAAGCCAAGTTGGGGCTCCCCTTTCATGCCCTTTTTTTCTACCTATTCAGCTTCCCTTCCCAGTCTCTTTTGGGTCTCTTTCGGCAGGGCGGGGTGGTCTTCGTGGGGAAGGGGGTGCAGGGGTCTGAGGCGCCCCCCTTGGGGCCCCGGGCCACGCCGAAAAGGGGGCAGGTCTCTTCCGCCCAGCCAAGGCGCCCCATTTCGGGTTGCGGCCTGAGCCGCTGAAGTCACAATCCGAGGGACAAGCGGGAAGGCGAGGGAGCCCCTGGCCCAGGCATGGGCAGCCCTTGCCCACCTCTCTGCCCCTCCAACAGCCTCCTCAAGACCCACCTGGCTGGGTTTGGAAGCAAGGGTGCTTGCAAAGGCTCCTTCTTGGGAAGCTTTTAAAGAGAAGCTGGATGGCCATCTGTCGGGGGTGCTTTGAATGCGATTTTCCTGCTTCTTGGCAAGGGGTTGGACTGGATGGCCCATGAAGTCTCTTCCAACTCTAGGATTCTATGATTCTAGCCAAATTGGGCCCTCCAGGTGTTTTGGACTCCAACTCAGCAAACTACAACTCCCGGAATTCCTTACCACGGAGCTAAGAAGGCAGTTAAAGCGGCATCTAACTTCATTCATTCCACAGTGTAGACCAAGCTTGGGCCCTCCAGGTGTTTTGGACTCCAACTCCCACCATTCCTAACAGCCTCAGCCCCCTTCCTTTTCCTCCTCAACCGCTTAAGGGGAGATGATGAACCTGATAGACTTGAGCAGTCATGGCTGAAAAAAGGGAAATGTTGGGTTTCATCCCTGGACTGCACAAGTGTCTTGTGCCTTCAAGTCTCCAGTCCTCAATGAGTAACTAGACTAGAGTGAGGGATTCTTTCCCCATATTCCTCTGCATGTTTATCCCAGAAGGGGCCTTTGTCTTTACTCTTCTTCCTTGCCACTGTCTCCTCGCCCTTTGAAGATATAGTAATGGAATCTCTGTCAGGGATGAGGAAACGTCCTCTTTAAAGGTGCTTCCATTGCCCTGAATGGCCACGTGCTCATTTGCCATTGCCTTCCTTATAGCAACACCAGACGCACTCCCAAGTGGCTAGCTACTGATCAAAAGGCATTTAATACAATGCCATATTTTTTAAAAAAATGTGTTTACTAAATACATTACAACTATAACCTTGGTTTGTTTCTGACACAAAGGATAAGTAAATCATTGACCTTTCTCTTCTGCCTTTGTCTTCCTTCCAGTGAGGATGCATTTTGTCAGTCTCCAGACAAAATGTAACTGAATGGATACTTTTGATATTTTATCCTTTTACCTGCGTTAGAAGATGGCTTAGTAATCTAGTTAGCTCTAAGACCCTTTTCTGTCTGGAATGGATTTCTTTTTTACTTCCATAAATATATTTTTGAACCTAAAATTGTGACTCTGCAATCCTGTACCATCCTATTGGATGGAAGATTATCCTGACTCACTATGCCTAGGTTTCTGCTGGTTATGAAGTTTGCTTTTAGCACATTTATGGTAGAATCACCCCAACCGAGGGTTATTTTTGAGCCTGACAGCTCAGATTCCCAACAAGCGGAAAGGGAAGGAAAGAAAGGGGCCTGATGCTCTTAGGAATTGTGGGAGATGAAGTCCAAAACACCTGGTGGTCCCAAGTTTCCCCAGGCCTGGCCTACACTTTGGAATGAATGCAGTTTGACGCTGCTTTAACTGCCTTCTTAGTCCAATGCTAAGGAATCCAGAGAGTTGTAGTTTTACCAGGACTTCAGCTTTCTCTGACAAAGAGTGCTGGCGCATTGCAAAATTCAATTCCCAGGATTCCATAGCCCTCCTTTGCACTTGCCATATCAAATCCAGATTCTCTGCTTTGAACTGGATTATATGGCAGTGTAGACTCATATAATCCACTTCAAAGCAGTTTTTTTTGTCGTGTCAGGAGCGACTTGAGAAGCTGCTTCTGGTGTGAGAGAATTGGCCACCTGCAAGGACGTTGCCCAGGTGACGCCTGGATGATTTGATGTTTTTATCATCCTTGTGGGAGGTTTCTCTCATGTCCCCACATGAGGAGCTGGAGTTGATAGAGGGAGCTCATCTGCCTCTCCCCGGATTCGAACCTGATGATGTGGATTATCTGCCTGGATAATCTGGATGATATGGCAGTGTAGAAGGGGCCTAGGACTCTGGAGAGCAAGACTGGACTGCTCCTCCACCATGAAATCCACTGGGTGACTTTGGGCAAGTCACACTCTCTCGACCTCAGAGGGAGGCAAAGGCAAACCTCTTCCAAACAAATCTTGCCAAGAAAACCCTGTGATGGGACCATCTTAGTTCAGAAAGCATTTGGAAGCAAGGGAGTTGCTTGGTCACATGGCAGCCATGTCTTTTCTCTCTGCTTACATAATTGTGTCAGCCAACTGAGCCCCAGGTTGGTGGGTTCTGAATGGATCCCATTTCAAAGGTGTTTTCTCAGTAGCTTGAAGATGCTTGAATCATCACCAGTTGGGCAGGATGACTGGCAATGCCTGCCATCTGATTTAATACTGGCGTAGTCAAGGTCTGGAGCTATTCCCCTGTAGCTTTCCTGTTCATATTCCCAATCTGCATGACACACACGAGCTCAAATTCACACCTCAAAGGCCTACTCATGGGGCTGAAAATTAAAACCCTGGCAGCCTCTCAAATTCCTGTCAACCATGTTACTTGAGCAACATTATTCCACCTCTCAGCCCCCTACATTCACCATCCCTGATAGCCTCCTTCACATCTACTCCCACTTGGATAAAACCTGACACTTGCAGACGTGATGCAGAATCACATTTTATTCCTGTCACTTTAATGTTATCACACCAATTGCTCCACAAATCTGTAGATATGAATTAAGCTAAACTGGGCAACAGAAGAGACAAACATGCTCGGTTAAGATAACAGAATCGCAATCCAGACCACCAACTACCAATGGATGGAAAGCGGAGAAGGAGACCTATTTTGGGGTGTGTGTAGAGGGCAGAGTACAGTTCATAACCTCACTGGACTCCTGACCAAAAGAGAAAGGGGACAAAAAGGGGAAAACATGATTCTAGATCAGGCATGGGCAAACTTCGGCCCTCGAGGTGTTTTGGACTACAACTCCCACAATTCCTATGCCTTCTCTAGAGGATAATAGGAGTTTTAGTCCAATGCATTTGGAAGGTACAATGTTAGGGAAGGCTGACCTATCACAAACTTCTGTGTAGTTGTCCATAAGCAGACATGAATTATATAGGTGGAAGAAACCATCCAGTCAAATCTCATGACTGGATTTCACTGAAAGCTCATCAGAGTCTCTTGATGAGCAATCATCAAGTCAGGCTTCCCTGAAGGACAGTTGCCTTATCACAATCAATTTTCTTTCATGGTAAGCTGCATCGAATCTGGAAAAGTTTCCACTATTTGCATTTGATCAGAGTAGGGCTTGTCTTAGAGCTAGTGTGCTGTAGTGGTTTGAGTGTTGGACTATACTTGGAGATACTTTGGTGATGGAAACCGTAAAATAGTAAAGGGAACCAATACTGAGTAATCCCTGTAAGGCTGTGGAAACATGGGCAAGGCACACTCAGCTGCAGAACAATGTCCCCTCCCTGATCTTGACCCATGATAGAGTCACCATGGACCATAAATTCCTTGAGGGCAAACAAGAACAACAAATAATATTAAACACATCAGATAGGAGACTGGGAACTGAAAGTGACTTGCTAGTACTCTGCTTCTAAACATTTTGAAGGAGTCTTCTTTAGCCTGGTCCCTTCCAGATGTTTTTGATTATGACTCCCATTAGTCTCACTTAGCATGGCCAAAATGCCCCCTCCAAAATGTCAGAGGCCCTGGTGATGCAGCAGGTTAAACCGCTGAGCTGCTGACTGAAAGATAGCGGTTTGAATCCGGAGAGTGGGACGAGCTCCTGCAGTTAGCCCCAGCTTCTGCCAACCTAGCAGTTCAAAAACAAGCAAATTTGAGTACATCAATAGGTACCACTTTGAAAGGAAGGTAACGGCACTCCATGCAGTCATGACGGCCCCATGACCTTGGAGGCGTCTATGGACGACACCAGCTCTTCAGCTTAGAAATGGAGATAAGCATCTCCCCCCAGAGTCAAACACAACTAGACTCAATGTCAAGGGAAAACCTTTACCTTTAGAATTAAAGCCAAAACTTTACCAGGTTGGGAAAACCTGCCTTAGATTAACTATAGACATGCACTAGGATTCACAATAATGTGAGTGGGATTCCCTTTTGATGTGGGGGGGGGGGGTTATCGTGTCAGGAGCAACTTGAGAAACTGCAAATCGCTTCTGGTGTGAGATAATTGGCCATCTGCAAGGACGTTGCCCAGGGGACACCCGGATGATTTGATGTTTTTATCATCCTTGTGGGAGGCTTCTCTCATGTCCCCGTATGAGGAGCTGAAGCTGATAGAGGGAGCTCATCCGCCTCTCCCCGGATTCGATCCTGCGACCTGTCCTGCCGGCACAGGGGTTTAACCCACGACGCCACCGGCGGCTCCGTGTGGGTGGGATGAAAGTGTTATAGTCCAAGTTAGTAAAGGCTGCTTCCTATGCTACAC